AGGAATAAGATCCTCCGGAAAAGGGTGCTTTTTCCGGAGGATCGGGGCCAGTGTAGACGCTCTTTTCCGGCTTTTCTAAAAGCCGGAAAAAAGCGGCGGACATTTTTATTTAAATGCCGCGGGGGATATTTAAATCCCCCGCGCATTTCCCTATTGCGATTTCAAAAATTACCATGCCCCTTCCGGAAAAGGGGCCAATGTAGACAAGCCCTTAGAGTATGCCCCTGTTAGAATATGGATTCCTTGTATTTCTATCTCCACGCAGCGGAACTTACCTGCTCCAACATTTTTCCCCATTAAAATACTGAGACCCCTAATATAGCTGGTAGGGTTGTTGCCCAAAAGAAATACTGAAGCTCAGAAACACTGGACACATTTTCTAGCTACCAGAACTGACATTACACTTATGCAGGAGATCAAGTGTTAACATCCTTTCTCTGTCAGCCCTTTTCACTGTGTGCGTTCAAAATGCATTTGTTCAATACACCCTTTAATTTATTTCACTCTGAGAAAGACTACTGCGAGGACAATAATTTACATGAGACAACATACATCTGCCAATATTCCCTAGAAATTACTCAGATTTAAAATAGTTTGTGAAATATGCTAGTAATAATATCAATTATTTAAATCAACAGCTCGCTCTACCTTTGTTGAGCATTAGAGGAACCATTAGAAAAGGGATAGAAAATAAAACAAAGTATCACAATGCTGCTATATGAATCCATGGTATGCCCACATCTTGATTACTCTATGCAGTTCTGGTCACCTGAGCTCCAAAAAGATATATTAGAAAACGTGTAGAGAAGGGCAATGAAAATGATTAGGGATTCAGAACAGCTTCCATATAAGGATAGATTTAAAAGACTAAGATTTTTGAGCTTAGAAAAGAGATGACCAAGAGGTCTATGATAGAGGTCTATAAAATCTGGAACAGTATGGAAAAAGTAAATAAGGAAGTGCGATTTACTCCTTTACCTAAAAATAAAATTAATAGTCAGCAGGTTTAAAAATAAACTAAAGCAAGTACATCTTCATACAACGCACAGTCAACCTATGGAACTCATTGCCAAGTGACATTGTGATGGACCAAGCTATAAGTGGCTTCAAAAAAAGAGAGAAGTTCATGGAGGATAGGTCCATCAATGGCTTTAAGCCATTTTGAGCAGGGACACAAGCTCCAATTTTCAGAAGCATCAGATACAGAACACTGTTAGAGACTGGGTACTGCGCTATATGAACCATTGGTTTGACCCAGTATGGGCATTCCTATGTTCTTCTGGCAGAACATTTTTGAATTTCATAATGATGTCTATATTTTGAAATTAAAATAAACTGGGGGGCTTCACCCGCTGCTTGCTATACACACCAGCCCACATCTCTCTGGTGGCTTTCTGCAGCCAGACAGCCCGATGACACCATTCTGTTACGTGTCAGGAAAAACTTTTTTATGTATATAGAGAGATAATAATGGGAATACTATTATTAATACATTTCACTGCAATTTGCACTGACTTTTTCTCTCTGGCTGTGTCTACATTGGCACCCCTTTCCAGAAAAGGGATGCTAATGAGACCAGTCGGAATTGCAAATTCCGCGGGGGATTTAAATATCCCCCGCGGCATTTGCATGAACATGGCTGCCGCTTTTTTCCGGCTTGGGGTTTTGCCGGAGAAAAGCGCCAGTCTAGACGGGATCTTGTGGAAAATAAGCCCTTTTCCGGAAGATCCCTTATTCCTACTTTCAAGGAGGAATAAGGGATCTTCCGGAAAAGGGCTTATTTTCCAGGAGGAGCGGTAGCTGGGGAGGCAGTAGGGGCTGAAGCAGCAGGAAGCAGCAAGCTCTGCCCCAGGATCGATGACCACCTGGGGGGGCACGGACCATCCTGTCCCCCAGGATGTGGTCCATGGCACCAAAATAGGAGCAAGGGTCTAGATCTGTCCCTGGTTGGAAGCTGCCCCCTCTGACTCTGGCATCCGCCTGCCGCAGCTCCTTTATTTTCATGTGAACCTGCTCCTTGGTTCTCATGTGGCCTTTGGTGGCCAGGCTGGCAGCCATGCGCTTGCAGACAGTTGCGTTCTTCCATTTAGTGCGGAGATCATGGACATTGGAGGGATCCCCCCAAACCTGAATTAGGTCCCTGATCTCCACACTGGACCAGGCAGGCGCCCGCCTTTTCCAGCCTCTGGCATGCTCTTGGGAGCTGGCAGACTGGTCCTGGGGAGCAGTGGAGGGCTGGCTGGCACTGGCTGCCTGGCTCATGCTGGGACCACTGGGTTAGGTGCAGTGACGGCTGGCTCTGGGCTGGCAGGCTTGGAGCTGGAACGGGCACTGTGGCCAGAGTCTATCCATTTAAGGGTTGGGAGTGGGAGGCAGGGAGAGAAGTGTTCTTGGTTGAGGCTGGAGTGGCCACCATGGCACCATGGGAAGGCTGGAGGCCCCCTATTTTGAAATAAGTGTCTACACAGCACTTATTTCAAATTAGCTAATTTGAGTTTGGTGTTATTCCTCATAGAATGAGGTTTATCAAATTCAAATTAAGGGCCCCGCTATTTCGAATTTAATTTAATTCGAAATAGCGGTTTGCCTGTGTAGACACTATTAAAGTTAACTCAAAATAACAGCTGTTATTTCCAATTAACTTTGATGTGTAGACATACCCAGAGGAATTAATCATGTGTCTGGATTTGTGCTTCTGACAACTGAAGGTCCTCTGTGGGCTGTAGGTTAGACCAGGGGTTTTCAAACTCTGGTTCACAGTTTGTAAAGGGAAGCCACTAAGGGTATGTCTACACTACCCTCCTCATTTGAACTAGCGGGGTAGTGTAGACATACCCTCAGTGTCTCCCGGCCAGCAGCCCCGCAGCAATGCTATAAGTAGGTCCAAATGTATTTAGAAAAAAATATATTCTCCCTTATCGTGGTGCTCAGAAAGGCAACTGAAACCCAGGGAAGACCCAGATAGTTTCCAATTTTTAGACTAACCAGTGTCTATGCTTATAACATTACTCTGAGCACAATCTGAAATGTGGACTAAAATCTTCATTTTTACAGATGGGGAATTAAGGCACACGGGATGACTTTCCCAATGTCACAAAAGACATCTAGGCAAAACAGAGAACTGAACCCCAATCTTCTAGACTAGTAGCTTGCTGCTCACACTAAGGGTATGTCTACACTACCCCGCTAGTTCGAACTAGCGGGGTAGTGTAGACATACCCTAGCTGGCTGTGAAACACTTTGTTTACCTGTACCACCATTGGTTCAGGTGATTGCAGCTCCTGTTGGCTGCAGATCACTGTTCCCAGCTAATGGGAGTTGTAGGAAGCGGTGTCCCAGTTTACTCTGCTTCCCACAGCTCTAATTGGCTGGGAACAGCAATCCATGGCCAATGGGAGCTGCAATTGCCAGGAACTGTGGAGGCGCAGATAAGCAAAGCATCTCACTACCAGCTAGCACTTGCCCTTATAAGCCGCGGCCCAGAGTTTGAAAACCCCTGGGTTAGACTACATCTCTGCAGAAAGGGAAACATAATGTTCACTGTTTCTGATGTCCAGCTCTGTAATTGACAGTGTACTGAGTTTTACTGGTTTCCATGACTTCATAGCAAAGTAGAAATCAAGGTGGAGTTTAAACTGGCATAAAAATGGCAGCAGAGTCTGGCCAAAGAGAATAGGAAGACTCTCACTGTTGAAGAATGGTTTCAGCAAAAACAACAAGGAGTCCGGTGTCACTTTAAAGAAGAACACATTTATAAGGGTATTAAGGCATAAGCGTTCATCAGCTACAACTCACTTCCTCACATGCTGAAGAGAAAATGATAGTCTGGACCCAATACTAAGTACTTTTCCTTAAGTGTACCCAATTTTTGAAAGGCTTCAATGGTTGGCAAGCCGGGATACTCTGTTAGACATTTTGCCTTTTGGTCATTAGAAATACGCATTTTCAAACTGGGCACAGTTTTGTTGGAAGTCTGAAAGTCTGAGAATTTCTAGTATATCGACAGTGACAGCATAATCAGACACTAAATTACAATCAGAAATAGCAGTGGCATTGCACTGAAGTCAGGTGAAAAAATATATCTACTTTGCTGCGACAGTGGGCACCTTCTCTGTGAAAAAACAGAAGTGAAAGGCATTAATTCTAGCTCTCCCACTCCAGCTCTCATTCTGTCAGCAAAACTACAAAATAATTTTGTCTAATTTCCTGATTACCTGTCTGAAGAATTCCTCCAGCAAGGACATGGTCCAGCGATGATGAAGGTCCCAGGCCTTGGCAGGATGACTGATGTCTGCTGTATGCAACAACAGTGATAAGGCTTTCGGCTTGTCGATTCTGCAAACCCAAATGACTGAACAAGTTAATTGTCTGCACCAGTATTGAAAGAGAAAGAACAAAAACCCAGCTAAGCAAGTAAATGAGGCCACCATAACCTTTTTCAGGGCTACTTAAACATTGATTATTGTGTTCATAAAACTTGACAACTCTGAAAGATGAATTGAACTTCTCCACATAAACCTTTCCTTTGGTAATGAAGTCATTCAAAAGTGTAAAGAGAAATTGGGAGCATAAGCTTTGCTCTTTTTTTTCTTCGCACTTTGTGTGTGCATGAGTGAGTTTTGCACGTTCACGCTCTTCACTGTTTGGGCTGAGTTACATTCCATGAAACTCCAATCAGTAAATAGTTCTAGGTCATTTTAGTTTGTTGGCTTGCTCAAACAATCAGGGCCTGATGCTGATCACACAGCGATAAGTGTCAACAATAATTCCATTTAAACCAAGCAAACTTCACCAGTAAAAAGCTGGTGCATGTAAGAGATCAGAGAAGAAACTCAAACTCTTTGGAGGCACTACAGGTCATAGAAGGCTGAAATCTTCGTAAAGTCATACCACTGAGAGGATAGCCCTGAAGCCTAGTTAATCATGATCTATACTACCGGGCCCTAATCCCAGTCTCATGCTGTCCCAAACTGGCAGGAGTACTGCAGAAGCAATACACATAGCTCCTGAGAGGAGATAGCAGCCAGCTAGTATCATCTTTGTCTGATTTAGGCACCGTTTTGGCAGGCTCTGGGAAGACATCTGTCAAGCCCACTTTAGAAAATTCAGAGTTTTGAGGGTTTAGATAAGGTGGATAAAATGGGGAGGGGGATACTCAGGGCTCTAAGTGGCTCCAAAATGATCAGATAGGAATAAACCTTCCTCATATTGTTCTTCCTGATCTATACTATAGCACACACTTGCCCTTTGTGGCTCTGTGGTTGCTTTCCTATTGTCTCCAAATACAGAGCTGGCTACCTGCAGTGAAAGCACAAGCTGCAGTCTGTGGCTTGCTATTGCAACAAGTGATGGTTCCAGGTCCCAGGACTAGAGGCCTTAATCTAGCAGCTCTTTCAGTCATACTCTCTGCTGAAGCACACAGGCTCTTTATCCTGTGTTGTTACAAAATGGAAAATTAATAGACTGGTTTATCTCAAAGCTTTGCTATTTAGATGCTGTGGTCTTCCAGAGTATCCCACAGGCAAATGCCTGAGTGCTCACGTGTGAATTCGTTCAAAAATCAAGACATGGACATCAAAGAGTCCTCTGGAGGGAGACTTTTGAAGTTTAATACAATGACAAAAGTACCAGCTGAAATACAACCCTTTAGTTGCACACAGTGTCAGGAGGTGACTCACCCTTCTGGCTGCTGCAAAGCATTCTTCATGGCTTTGATTTGCTGGAAGTGACAGGACATATCAGTGGCCAGCACCATCTCTATCACCAAAGTCCTGAATTCCCTTTTGGGCAGATATTGGGACAAGAGAAGGCAAGAAAGAGAAAGAGAACAAGTTAAAGAACATTGATGTTTCTTTTGTTGGGTAGCTACAAATCACTTCTGACATTTGCACTCTCCCCCACTTGTGTCACTGAACTCTTCACATTATCAAGACAAAAGAGGAGAGGAAGGAGGATCTCATGTTGTAAATACCAGCCAAAGAGCGAGCAATTTAGTCAGATGATTAACTCTTGCTAAAAGAAATCCCAGAGGTTTTTGACAAGTCCATTATGGTCCGCTCTTTTCAATTAAACACAGCTCTCCCAAATCGATTTCTTCTACAGGAGGCTCTTAAAAGGAAACAAGCAGACTGTTTAAATAGTGTGCATGCCCTGGCTAGGAGTCGGTGAACTTTGAAACACAACCGTATATCGACTCACCTGCTGAGTCAATTTTAAAATAGATTAGCTAGAAAAAAATTAATGGCTGGTGACAGTGTCTTAATACTTCTCTGAAAGTTTAAGTATGCTAACTTCATAGCTTATTGCACACTTCAGGGCTCCTTGCTGCCCTCTTATCCCGGTCCCTACTTTCTCTCCCTCCCCAAAACCACTTCCTTGCCAGGGTCTCTGTGTACCCTTTAATTTCCCATCTTCATTTCAAGCTTCTCCATTTTCCCCTCCATACAGCAGCTCTGTGCATTTCCATTCCCACTTCTCCCACATCTTCCATTTTCCTGCATGGCATGGCCTCTTTGTGCTCCCTCTTTCCTGCTCAAGGCAGGAGCTCTGTGCACCACTCATTGTAACCCTTCCCCACAGTAGGGTCTCTCATTCTCCTCACTCCCATGGGGTTTGCATGCCCCATTCCCATTACTCCCCAAGCCAGTAATTCCTCAGTATTGCCTTCCCTCAACTTCCACTTTGCCCTCCATGCCAGGGTTCTGAGTAGTAATAGAGATGTAGCCGTGTTAGTGTAGTCTAGCTGAAACCCAAAACAGGACTATGTAGCACTTTAAAGACTAACAAGATGGTTTATTAGGTGATGAGCTTTCGTGGGCCAGACCCACTTCCTCAGAGATGCTCAAATACTATAGTAGCGAGGGCCATATAAGTGCCTTAGATACCATTAGAAATATTTTTTAATTGAAAATGTGTGAAAATACAACTTTTTGCATACTTTTCATAGGAAAGGCCTAATTCATTTGAAAATTGGCTCATATTCACCAGAAAAAAGGCTATTTTAATTGAAAAAAAGGATTCCCCTAATATCTTTCGGGGACATGGTTCCATCGTGACAGATTCATATTGCAGAGACAGGCAGGTGCACTTTGCAAAACCCCCTTCTCCTCTACAGAGTTGTCATCAGGGGCAGCTGTACTCCAGTGCGGAGAGGGCACAAAAAATATCACTGCTGTCAGTGTGGGGGGAAGGGGAGGAAGAGGGTGCACGTTGGAAAAAAACAGATCTAACTTAGAACTGGCTTTAGAGACTGCCTTGTAAACACACTGCATCAGCACACCTCATGAGTGCCCTCACCACACACCCTGCCCACATTCTGGCTGCTGCAGCAAGCATTTGAAGATGCTTCCCAGCATCTCCAGATGGACTTTCCACCAGAAGGGACTTTCCACTTCATTATTCTGGTGTTATCCTCTAGGGCAGAATCAAAGCTGCAATATTTCCACCATGGGATAAAAATTCTATTCATTTAAGTAATATGGTACTATTTCTATGCTATCTTTACCACTGATTACTGCACCTGAAGTAATTAATTATACATGCATAAGCCACAGGTGTGTATTGTGGCACCATTAGTAGGCTGGTCAGTGATTTCTGGTCTGCTTTAATTTGCACACATAGATTCTTTAAATCTCTTGCGTTGGTCCAGCCGGACACCACTTTAACATGATCTTTAGGACACCTGCCCCGAGGACATTTATTTCATGAAATGTTGCATAATATCTTTTGATATTTTGTTCCATGCAGTTTTTCTCCTTTGCCCCACCCAATTTATGCTGTTGCCTACTGAAAGAATTAAATGTAAATAAAGTCACAGAAATTGGAGTGGAAAGGCCTATTGAGGTCATCTGTTCCATGCCCTTGGGCCCAATAGCAGGATTGTTGCCAACAGCATAGTGCTTTGTCCATTCCACTTCAGTCAAATGCATGTGTTTTTGTGCATAGCAGAAAATTATGTATAAACCATGGACTGTGGGGCTCTTTTTTTATTCTCATGGAAAATAATAGGGAAAGGAACAACATTGCCTTCAAGGCAATATTTTGAAAGGCTGGCATCTAAGTGTTGTGCATGCACATGCACTCCACACATACAAATACCAGATTTGGACAAGAATAATATATAATTGCTTGTTCAAATGCCTGTCTGTAATATGTACAAATGAAGTTTATGTGTAGGCAAATTTTTTAACTTGAACCTTCACAAGTGCGTCTGAGTTTCAACCAGCCTACAAAAGGCATCACTGAGCTATAACAACAAAACATCAGTAACACACACACAGCACTATATAATATGAGAGCTCAGGTACCCATCTGTTGAATCATAACCCCCCATCTGCTAACAATGGTTTGTGAAAACCTTCATTAGACACTATTTCCTGAGCTGTACACTGAGAGGAGCTGAAGAGCTCAACATTTTCCAGATGTCTTTTTAATCCTGTACTTGCCAATAAGGGCTTGTAATAAATATGCTCTACTTCAATAAACTGCATGGAAATTATTAGTGCCAGAAAAGAGATCCACAACAGTATCTTGGAAAGCATCTGTTCTCTTCTGCAATTTATTTTCTTAATTCAGTGTGATCTGTTTTAGTTTCAGTTTTATAATATACTTGTTGAATACTTTAGCAAAAGGGATTCATCAGATGAAACAACCTATCAACTTTGCAAATATTTAACAAGCAGCAAAAATATTTCTCTTTAATGTGAAAGAGAAAAAGTGCAGAAAATTAAATTAATGACTAAGCTCTTTGTTCCCTGATCTAACCCAATAGACCTCTTCCAGGCTCCTCTGCTCTCCCTGCACATGCAAAAGCCACAGATCTCTTGTACTGATTGGATAGAAGAACCTTCACCCAAAACACATTCCCAGACTAGAAAGATTAAACACCATAAAACTGATAAAACCCATATGAACAGACAGACAGATTTCCCAAGTGTTACTCTTAGATTCTTCAGACATAAATGATTATACCAAGGAATATTCATTATGACTAGAACTGGGCAAAATAACTAATTTTTCAGTTCACTGGCAGTTCTGAAAAATAAACAAAAATATAAGTTGAGTTTAACCAAATTCAAAAATTCCAGACGTTTTTGGTGAATGAAAGTATGGTTTGGGTAACACCTTAGAACTTTTCAATACCAATTTTCAAGGGAGTGCAGAGCGGCTACCGGCCAATGGGAGCTGTGAAGATGGTGCTGCATAGAGTCACATTTCTCCTTCCTGCCCCTCCAGCAGGGGCACATAGAGACATGCCAGCAATCAACTGCTTCTGTGAGGCCATGGAGGGCAGGTGTCTTTTTACTATAGCCCAGAATGAATCATTGCTTTTTACTGAACGGACAAACGCACAGTTCTCCGTAAGAGTGTAGGGAGTGGTGGTAGGGAGATCACACTGGTAATTATTTAATTTTATTTTCTTGGTAAGAACATAAGAACAGCCATACTGGGTCAGACCAAAGGTCCATCTAGCCCAGTAGCTTGTCTTCTGACAGTGGCCAATTCCAGATGCCCCAGAGAGAGTGAACAGAACAGGAAATCATCAAGTGATTCCCAGGCTCTCCAGTCACCCATTCCCAACCTCTGACAGAAGCTAGGGACACCATTCCTACCCATCCTGGCTAATAGTCAGGGCTCACAAATAATGCAATCTCCTCGTCCGTGGCGAGTAGATTGCAACCCAGAAGAGCCGGGTTCAGGTGATCTGCGCATGAGCAGAATGATCTGTGCATGCGCAGATCGCTGGACAGCGCGGCTGGCGAGCAGGGCTCGCCGCAGTTCAGCGAGCCCTGCTAATAGTCATTGATGGACCAAACTACCATTAATTTATCTAGTTCTTTCTTGAACCCGTTAATGTCCTGGTCTTCACACCCTCCTCTGGCAAGGAGTTTCAGAGGCCAATCGTGTGCTGTGTGAAGAAAAAATTCCTTTTGTTTGTTTTAAACCTGCTACTTATTAATTTCATTTGGTGACCCCTAAAATTTGGTAAAATTTCTATTTATTTATTTATTTGTCACAAACAGTTTAGAGACTTGATTATTTCCCATGGTTGACTTTGTGCTTCATCTTTCCAAGACAGATAGAACCAGTTTCCATGTTTTTTTTTCTTTGGCCAAAACTACCTCCCTCATAAATGCAAAATGGTACAGTTTGCTTTGCTTGTGTGATTAGCTGATGGCCCCCATCCTAAGAGGTTATAGCATTTCAATACCTGCATGTAGTGAACTATATTGGAATGCAAGATATTATCCCTAAAATGATATTAAGGGAAGAAGGGGGGAATTAAGATGGTAGCAGAAGAGGAAAATGGTAGAAATAAACAGAATCTAGGAAGCTGTTATGTCATAGGCCCACATTTAAGTTCGAGGACAATGTAGTAATGACAGGAATAAGTCTGTTCCACTGTGCTTTATACGTCCCTCCCTTTTTCGGGGGAGGAGATGGAGGTTTTAGGACAAAATTTAAATTTTGAACCCAATCTGCTTGGACAAATTCCTTTAATTTTTTTTCACTATTTCTTCTCACCCCTCATCATTAAGTTTCAGCAAGAAACATAAGCACAGACTTAATTGTGAACACTGAATAGATCCACTACCTTCAATGTAGATACATGCTTTAGTACTTTGCTGAACTCGGGACCTTAAATTCCTTCTTCTTTGAAATATCATTATCATACATATAGAAACTTCCATACTAAAACACTTCACAACCTGCATGAATCCAACACAACTGATGTGCCATGACCACTTGAGTTATGCCAAGGAAAAATTAGACCCAGAGGGAACAGATTTGTTTGTAGGAAATTATGTTTCTATTTTATATATGGTAGGGAAATGTTTATAACTTTAAAAATCTGTTTTCCGTGGTATCTTATATATCTGAGTGAAAACAAGTTGTCTTTTAATTTAGAAAAAAAATCCCTTACATTTACTGAATGTCAACACAACAGCCGCATGCTGTTAGATGAAATGTTCAGCTCCTTTTCACTGTGCAACCTAGATCTTGAAAAGTAAATTAGATTTTAAAACTACAATCCACAAAGCTGGTTTTATTCCTTTTTCAAGATTCCTGTCACACTGACTGTTAACGTGTTTCTTTCTTCAGAGTTTATCTGATTATGAACCCACAAGATATTATCCAGTCATCTGTAGTGCTGACTTTTGAATGACACCAACCATGTGTGGTTCTGGGATTTAGGCCGGTTGATCAGCTAGGGTTACCTTGTTGTCAATCTGGCTCCATCACTCATAAAAAATTCTTGTGTTGGAAAGTCTGGGTGAATGTGGAAAAGAAATCCAGTGGAGGAGGAACAGGGTGTAACTTCCCCTCCCTGACCCATCTTATGAGGGACTAGAGAAGTATTGCTGAGTGCCCTCAATTTCCTTTGAAGTCAAAAGATTCTTCCTGTCCGGCACATGCATGTTTTATGCATAATTGTTATTTTGAAAGCATCAGATATCTATTTCGTTTAAAAACAAAATAAAAAGCCCTCTTTCAGTTTGAATAATTTGTTATTTAAAAATGCTGATTTTTTTAAATAAATTGAGTGTGTGTCTTAAATTGCACCTTGTTTTGGCTTCTTGAAATGTCTATTACACCCACATATACTCTCGAGCCCTATTTCTCATTTACACTCCGGCTCATTTATAATGTTCAGACAGTAGAAACAGTCCTCAGAATGGGCTTAAATTTAATTTAAGTCTGTTTAAATGAAAATCAGGCCACCAGTCTAGTCACCTACACAGTGATAAGTGGATGCAGGGAGATCTAGGAGAGAATAATGAATAGATTCCATTACAAGTTAAATAACTTCACACATCACTTTTGAATTTAGTCCTAAGAGTGCGGCAATTGAAAGTGAGAGGGGGAAAATGAGATAAAGATTTTTAAACATCCTTTTATTTACTAATAACAATACAGCTGTTGGTGGATCCTATTATTCAAAGAAATGTAGTAATTGCAAATGGCCTGGTTGTAACTTCCCCTTGCCAATTGGTTCTTACCTCCAATCATCCTTTGAGAGGTTAGACAAAATGTTCATCTCCTCGTCTTCTTGCAAAAGGCGATAGGCTGCACTAACGTGGTGATTTTCGAGCACAGATCGGTCATTGTACAGAATGGCTGGATCTGACCTAGAAGTTAAAAGAATGTGGAAAAAGTGATGTTTCTTTCCATTGTTTGTCAATATCTCATTCAGAAATACTACCATGATACACAATTACACACTGTAGGTTGGTATTTATTTAGTAAGTGCAATGCTGTACTCATTGCTACATAGCTGAGGAAAACATTAACACCAATGGTTAAAATTTACCTTAGGGATAAAGCCCTGTGTAAACCATTCCCTATTCACTGCTTAAGACCCACCCAATTTCTGTGTTAAAGATTCTTAAGATTCGGCTGCTAACTACCATGTAGATATCAGTCACTGGAAGAAACAATGAGGCTTTTAGTCAATTCTTACTAAGGTAAAACACTGAGTTGGGGATTGTAAGCTTGGTCCCAATTGTATTGTCTGAACTGATTATTTTATACAAGGAATTCATGGTACGACCACTGCTACCAATAGACCTCCCACTGAAAACACCTGACGTTTGACACAAAAAGCAGTTAGGTTCCCAACTCTCATGGAAAGTCAGTGGAAGTTAGATGCCTAACTTCAAAAGAGTTGACTGCTTCCAAAATGACACTGGTGTAGTCAAGTTCTTGCCCACCTAAATGTTCTGCAGTTCTCTCCAATGTTTACAAATATGGCTACCACAATAAACATTGAAGCATTGTAAACACATTCTATTCTGCAGGCGTGGCATTCGGCAGGGAGAGGCACTGGTGAAAGCTGCTGATCTGCTGTTCCCACTTCTTTATTATTTCTTGAGGAATATCTATTTTTCATTTGAATCATTCAACTATATGTTGTCGTCTTCAAGTTGAAACAAACAGAAGAAAAAGAAACGTAACCAGAATACCTCCAAAATTATTCCAGCAACTGCCAAGTTTATGATACATAAATTACTGGCCCAAATTATCTTCTCAATGGCATCTATTTGAGGTTAATCTATTTGAAGTTAGTGGATATATTTCAACTTTACACTGGTGTAACAGTGGAATTTGTCCCCATGAACGGAAGATATGCATAGTCACAAAATATAGTAACTCTCAAATTTCTTCCACATACAATTTTTTCAACATTTTATCTATGTAAATATTAAGAAAACACAAAATAAAAGAGTCCCAGGAGAGCCTGGTATAGAAAAAAATGAGCATTCTTCCTTCTCTTCCTTAAGTAACTCACAAAGGCCTCACCGTGTCTGAATGTGAAAGTTGTTGGTGGTTCCAGTGTGTTCATAGTCATGGACGGCAGCTGCGAAAATCATAGCAAAGATCTCCAGCTCTGTCAGCCAGTGCTGAAAAAGAAGATTATAAAGTAATCAGATAAGCTGTTGTTTCTCAAGCATTAAGGCTTTTGTCTATTAAGGCAAGCTCTCTCTTGCTAACAATACACACTACTCTGGCAGCTGTTCCAAAGCAAACTTCTGCAGCTCATACATGAAAGCAGAACCACTAGTATTCTCAAAGGGTGATCTAAATAAATTAAACCCTGACAAACTATTTAAAACATTTTGACACTAAAAGGGCTGAAGCAAGAAGAGAAGAAATATGACCAAAAATATGTACACTTGGGAAAGGGAGGTGCTATTCTAAGAGAAACACAAAACATAGTGGAGTATGTAAAAAAAAAAAAAACACATGCAATCAGCTATCGTGTGTTTAAGACAGTGATGTTACAAGACTCGAAGGGTATGTCTAGACTACAGGCTTCTGTCAACAGAAGTTTTGTCGACAGATACTGTCGACAAAACTTCTGTCGACAAAGAGCATCTAGACTACATTGAGTTCTGTCGACAAAGCAAGCTGCTTTGTCGACATGGTAGTGTGGACGCAAAGGACAGTTTACATGCAATAACACCTTCTGTCGACAGAAACTCTGTCGACAGAAGGTGTTATGCCTCATAAAATGAGGTTTAGCAGCGTCGACAAAACTGCTGAATTCTGTCGACAGAACTCAGCGGTAGTGTGGACGCAGGTATAGTTTTGTCGACAAAAGTCCACTTTTGTCGACAAAAACCTGTAGTCTAGACACTAGAACCTTGTGAATTCCCAATGACTCAGAGACCCTTTGTGAATTACTGAATTCACTGAATATTATGTATTTACAAAATAGCAAAACATAGAATAGTAAAGCAAAAATACAGCACTACAAAAATGTAATTCTAGTTGTTTATTTATAATGAATAGAAAAATATTCAGAATTTCATGGGGGAACATTTTCAAAAGCACCTGATTCTTGGAGGAGCCCAAATCGCGTTTCCTTAAATCAATTACTTAATCAATTTATGTCTCAGTTTCCCCATCTATAACATGTACTTACCTCCAGGAGAGCCATTTCAATTAAAATAATGAATGTTTACATAATATACTGAGAACAAAGCACTAGTGACTGTCCATACTAGATGAAAATGCAGCTGGGAAGCAGGGATAATTCTAGGTTTTGGTGGGGCCCTGTAAGTAGGGTCTATCCAGCTCTCTTCCCTCCTATGGTGCTCTCCCAACCTTTGCATACACACAGCAGCCCCACCACTGGCCATCTCCTATGTGCTGCAACCACACTCCCCCTCTGTGGTAACCCTGAACTACTCACTGGCAAGACTCTGCAGCCTCTACTGTCCTAAGGACTAAGGGGTTCACTATACCTAACTAAGGTAGAGTTAGCCAGTAGGAATGTAGGTAGTAATCTCAAACTAGGACAAAGGAATTTTGGGGTTTCCCGCCTTGGCCCTGGGAGAGTTCCCTCCAGCTTCTGAGGGGGACAGATATGTCTCTGTCTCCAAGAAAAAATTCTTCACTTTCTGTAAGTAGGGTAAAGTTTAGATAAATCTGTTTTATTATTTTATGGTTTGGGAAATGAGATCTGATGTTTTGGCTTTCTTTTGTAACTAAGTTCTAGGACCATGGAGTTTCTCCATGGGTATATTATTTTGTAACTTTTCCATCTAGTCATCATGCCTGCAACATGAATAGTGTGGTGATAAAAAGTTTTCTTTCTTTTTATTAACCTGGTAGTGGTTAATTTTTGTGTCCTGGTTTGTACTTTAGGGATGAGATTTCCCAAGTAGTCTCTCCCTGGTTGCTTTATTAATATTTGGGTGGTAGCGAAGATTTTATTCCCAAAATTTAGGTTGTTAAGATTCTGGGGGGAAAGTTTTATACCAAAATCTGGTAGATAAGGTTTTGGGGTATTTTTGCTAGCCCCCACTTTTGCATGTATTGTGCCAGAGTGGGGAAGGAACCATGATAGACCCAAACGTTAGAACCAATGAGAGATTAGTCTATGATGTGCCACAGGCAGAGAACAGATATGACCGAAGTTCTCCAGTGCCCAAGGCCACTGCAATGACAGGGAAATGATTACGTGAGATACAGGCAGATAATCCTGGCAAGTGACCCGCACCCATATGCTGGAAAAAAATCAAACAAGCCCACCATCACTGCTAATCTGACATGTGAAAAAAATCCTTTTCAGCCCCACATCTGGCGATCAGTTCAACCCTGAGCATGTGCACAGGAACCCGCCAGCCAAGTACTTGAGAGAGAAAATGCTTGGTGCCACGTCAGAGCCCTCTCCCTCCCCACTCAATGTCTCATCTTCAGCACTGGGCATCCCTCATGCTTCACAGGAAGAAAATTAAAACAACATCCTAGAATGTATTTGGGGGAGAAAAAAATCCCTTCCTGACCCCTGCAGGTGGCTGCTGAAACCCTGAAACAAGAGCTTTAGGAACACAACACATAAACCAGAAGTGAGCCCCAGGGCTTCTGAACCCTTCTTCCTAACTTCACAGAATTACACTCATAAACATGTCCATCTTCCTCTTTAAACTAATTAAGTTGTTTGGCCCTATAACTACTTGGAGGCTGTTCCAGAACCTCACCCCTATGATGGTTAGAAACATTCTAATTCCCAGATGGACTGTTCTCAGCTGGTTTATATCCATTTTTCCTTTTGCTTGGATAGCTCTTCAGCCTCTCTAGTATTTACCCCTCTAATGTACTCATAGGGGGCAATCATATGCTTCTCAGCCTTCTCATCCAGTCTTCCAAGATCTTTCAGTCTCTTCTCCTAAGATAGGCAGTCTGTTCCCCAATCAACCCAGTAACTCTTCTTAGCATTTTTATTCAGATGAACAAGGAGTGCACAGACATGGAGACTAACTACTCTCTTATCCCCACCTATGTTCCTTCCAGAATTAGAAGAGATTTGGAGAACATTAGTTGTGGTAAAGCTTTTGTTGTCTCGATGTTGCCATATCTGTCCTGAGGACAAATAGCATGAACTGTTGGCAAGGAAGATAACTTCTTTCTTCAAGCAACATGGAGGTTAAGTCCATCAATGGCTATTAGCCAGGTGGGCAGGATGGTGTCCCTAGCCTATGTTTGCCAGAAACTGGGAACGGACAACTGGGGATGGATCTCCTGATGATTACCTGTTCTAGTACTGGCCACTGTCGGAAGACAGGATACTGTTCTAGATGTACTCTTGGTCTGACCCAGTATGACTGATATCATAATGATGTTAAGAGCAATTATAACACTATGTTAGATCAGGGAAGACCAGGTTGCTGGTTCTCTAGGAATCGGTATGCAATAGATCTTCACGTCAATTCTTCCAACAGGTTTTTCATTTCCCAAATGGAAGCAGTGTCTCTGCTCCTGGAGTCCATTCTCTCTGCTGAGTTACTATTATAATATATCTGGAGAGTCATTAAACTGGCTTGAAGTCTCATCAGACCTTCCATGGTCAAACAAGGTCAGAGCAATGCAGAGTCTTGGACCATGTCTATACTTACCTGTGGATTGATGCTCCAGAGGTCAATCTTCTAAAATGTTTGATTTAGTGGGTCTAGTAAGGACCCACTAAATCAAATGTTTAGAGTGCCTGTGACGGAGCATGGCACAGGAGAGCGGCGCCAGGACGCGCTGTGCACCCGGCAGCAGGGAGTAATCCCGTGCTGTCCGGGCTGCTCGGAGGCTGCGCGGCCGAGGCCGCTGAGAAGCGGGACACCCGGTGCCACGGGAGAGCCACCGGGACGTCAGGCACACTGCCGCGATAACGCGGAGCGGCGCCGACGTAAGGGGCGGGGCCTCCGGGGGCAGAGGAGGTCACGGCCCCGATGGGGCTTTTAAAAACGGATCCCGCGCCAGGAAGGAGGGGGGGAGAGGGAGAGGAAGCGAACCCTCTTCGCCCGCGGTCCAAGGAGGGGGACGAGGAGCAGGCGCACGGAGGCTACCCACCCCTCGGTAGGGAAGCTGCTCGGGCTACAGCCACCAAGTCGACCCAGGAAGGACGGGGAAGGAAGCAGCCCAGGGCAGAGCCGGGACAGGCTGGTGGGCTGACGAGTTAAGGTCACGAACCCCATCAGCCGGGTCAGGTCATTACTGAGCCGAACCCTTAGGGCCCTGGGCTGGGACCCGTGAGAGGGGGTGGGCCCGGGTCCCCCTTCCCCGCCCCTCTTGTCCCGAGGCGTGGAAAACGAAGACGGGTACACGGAACAAAAAGGCAAGAAAAACCACTATCAATGGACTAAGGGAGGGAGTGACACTGGGGAAGCGTCACAGTGCCCCTGTCAATGCTGCTACTCCTCCTTCTTGCAAGAAGTAAGGGAAGTTGACAAGAGTGTTTTTCCAATTGACCTCCCACTGTGGGGATGGCTCCAAAGTTCAAATCAAGGTATGTCAACTCTAGCTACGTAATTAATGTAGCTGGAGTTGCGTATCTTAATTTGAACTTATCCCGTAGTGTAGACTTGGCCTTGAAATGGAGTGGAAGGCAACTGCAGACAGGAGTAAAATACCTTTAACTGAGAACATGCACAGGAAACAGCATAGGGTTACTATAGAGGAACAGTGGATGACAAATACAACCCAGTAAAAATAACGTCTAGTTAAAATAGCTCAGAGTAAATGGGAAAAATAAAACCTCTGGAAAATAATCAAAAGTTTTCAGTCCCCACTTCAACTACAGCCATCATAAAGAAAATAAAGAAAATGCCAGGCTGCACCGAACAGAGGCAATCTTCATGCAAGTGGGGATATTACCTCTTATTAGGCTATGACGGAGTTCATCTTGCAGAATGGGGCTAGCTTTAAAGAACAAAGTCCTTAAAATGATTAAGACAGCAGCAGGGCTCCCTCATGGTGAAGGGAAGGGGGAATAGGAGGAAGGAGAGAGCAAGGAAATGTGCATGTTTTTTATTTCTGGAGCAACAAAAACAATCCAGAACAAACTCTTCAAAGATAATGGAAAGAAAGAAATGAATCAAAGAATGAGCACTGGATCCCAAGCTGG